GTATATTTTTTATTACGTAGTATATATGCAGAATAACTAGAAAGTTATATTACATAAATCATAATTTTATTTAATTAAAAAGCTAAAAGTCATCATCAAGGAAATCTGAGAGTCATTTCCACTTAAAAAATGTATATGTATAAAAAAGATGTAAATGTAAATGTAAAGATGTAAATGTAATAATGTATAAAAATGTAATAATGTATAATGTGTATAAAAAATAAAAAATTATTTTTTTAAAAAAAGGATAAAATAAGGGTGTCAAGTATAAGGGCACTTGAAAAAAAAAACTGTTGGAAATTAAAAAATAGAATTTAACTATCTTTTATTTAAAAAAAATAGAATCTAAATAGTATATACATCTATATCTTCATTGAAGAATCCCGTTAATCCATGTGGTAGTAGTTTTAATTGTTTAAACAAAATTATGTTACAAAATTGTCATACCTAACTCAATTCTAGTTGTGATTAAACTAAAAAAAAAGAAATGCTTCCGCATTGTCAACTCAAATGATATCATTTGTATAAAAAGTTTGATATCAAGAATTAGCGTCAAGTTATATTCTTATTATATATATAAAAATTGCATTATTTTACTATACTAAATTAAAAAAAATAGAATCTGGTACATATCTCAGTATCTTCATTGAAGTCTTTTTACTCCAACTCATATGATGATAGTTTTAATTTTTTTTTAAATTTTTACAAAATTGCTAGCTAACGCATCATCATAGTTGAGATCAAATTACAAAATAAAATCTAAGTTATTGTATCTTTGTATCATCATATACCTCAATGGATGAAGGATAAGATACTTGATCAGAAATCGAAAGATTCCTAGCCTAGGTGATATTTTTCGTATAAGGAAAAAAAAGAAAATGAAAAGAATAATTCATATTCAAATTTGATTATCGATTTAAAAATATAGCTTTGAGCTGTATTAAAAATCTGTTAATGATACTGGCACATAGTTTGCGATAGAAGTAATTGTTCCAAATTTATATAAATTTAGGTGTACAAAAAAGTTCTGAGCTTTAGATTTCATATAACCGAAATAACAATTTAAATTTTATATATCTTCCCGCCTTTTTGCGGTTTTAAAGCGTTGACATTTGGCCTTCTAAAATGCCATACGGTTTGGCGTTTGATGCACATAACCTCAAAAATCAGTAGTGTTCACGATGGCAATAACAAAAGAGCATATTAGAGCATTTTCCATCCACTAATTTAAAAAAATGAAAAATTATAGGATACCTAAAATCCAATCCTACCGGGCAATGTCATTTATTACCTTATTGTATAAAACATATATTATTCTACACATTGTTAAATTTAAATTATGATAAAGATTACATTTATTTTCTGTTAAAATATTAATATAATTATCACTACTTTATATATACATATCATATTAATTAAGTTAATTAGATTTTGTTCGAAATTATTTATAAGATCGAATTAAATTAGCATATCCAAAATATTTTAGAACAAGTGTGAACAATTCATAAAGATGATTTTATATTATGTGATGACGATTGTGGGATATTCACGCAGGGCCGCATAACATTCTCATGTAAAGCGAAAACATGAATTATATAAATAGAATCACTCATCTGCGTAGGGATGCGGCCCTATGTAGAAGGAGTTATTTTTAAAAGCCATATCATCACTTGTTACAGTTCTGCTTTCAGTTCTACTAGGTTTCAGTTGCGGCAAACAGTGCGACGGTTTCATATAATAAAATAACTGTATCATATAGTGAAACAAAAAATCAAGGTAATATCTGTTTACTACATGAGAACAATATTATTAGATATGCTGTTAGAATTTGATATTGCTTTTTCCTTACTAGTGAAAAATTTACTTTTCTTAATTAAATCAATGTCTTGATTTAATATATACGCGCGTGCATATATATCATTATCGCTCAAAAGTTTGAAATACTCTATAATCTTTTAACAAAACTATATTTTTATTAATCTCATAATTATTTTATTGAAAATATTTATAAAGACGTACATTATTTACAAATTACATTTAAAGTAACATGTATACATAAATTCGAGCTGCGAGAAGAGTTGGAGAGAGTACATAAAAAATATCCTATTTTTAAAAAATATCATTCAAAAATTTGGCAAAAAGCTTGATACAATATCAAAGTAAAAACTATTCAAAAATTAATCAACACAGTGCTACAATTATATTAGACAGTTAAAGCAAAAAAGAATTTTTTACAAGAAGAAAATTTGCTTTGTTTTACTTGCAACATTTAAATTAGTTTAACATTTTTTGTTTCATTCATTATAAATTTTATTTAAATAATGTATGTGCGCGCGCGCGCGCACACACAGTGTATACACTACGCGCGCGCGCGCGCGCGCGTCGTAGTGTGTGTGTGTGTGTGTGTG